TTCGCTTGTGATTGATTGTTGATTTTACCTTCGGGTCATGATATGTAAAATTTTTTATTTAAATATTATTGTTTAATCTGATCGGCAAGTAAATATAAAAAACGGTTAATGAAAACGGATTGAAATTTTTTTAGCGGTATAAATGATAAATATATTTTTAGTAAAAATAAATACAGATAAAAAAGAAATTCTGTGTAATTTATGGTTGATAAAGAATTTTATATGACTTCTGAGTATATGGCGTTTTTTGTTTTATCTCCTGTTGAAATTAAAATCATAAGATGATTCGGGTCCCCAGTAATCGAGAAAATTRTCCATGTGAAAAGCACTCTGTACGAAGATCTACGTCAACGTACTTGAATGTTTGAGCTTGAGCTTTGTTTACCGTAATCGCAAAAGAAACTTTAACCAGGAATTGAAGCCGTTTGAAAGAAAACGGCARTTCAGAGAGAATCATGGAAATTCTTGGAATAAATGCAATTTCTCCTTTYGCTGGCCCTGTAAGAATTACGGCTTCTATAATATTATTTCGAAACGATTTTATTTGTAATCTTGTACCGTTACATAAGTTCGGTGATTAAAGATTACTTAATAATGTAATTGGAGCGCCAATTTTTAATTTTAGCTTATGAGGAGGAAATCTCGAAGGAGAAAGAGAATTCTTGTGGATAATGAATAGCATCATCTGTTGATGTAACTGTATCAATAGATATTCACGTGAGTTTCCATCGAATTTTAGAAGGATGATATCATTGATTTCTCCTGCTGTTACATTTCTCGGAGAGATAATAGCTCTTTCACATAACCTCTGATAAGATWTATTGGACAGATTAAAAATGTCAAGATAAACTGTAKAAATCAACTCTTCCACGTTATTGACCACCCGTCCAATCGTGTGATTGACAGAATATAACCATTTTCATTTTCTAAAGTTCCATTTCCAATTTTCAACAACTGTGATGAAAAATATCGTCCCCTCCGCATAAATAAACTCTCATGCTTGTTCGCAAATAACATTTTTCAAATTTCAACAYTGTTCCATATAGAGGAAGATTTTAAGCAAGCATTAACGACATCAGCTGGAGTACCTTTAGGGATCATTGGTAAGGTTTACCGTGCCGCACARTGTATGTACAAAATTGGTTCAGTAGTTTTCCGGTTATCAAGGTCGTAAAAAAACCCTTACAATTTTATAATAATTTTAGTATAGATGTAAATCCGCGGGTCGCCGTGCCGCACAATATAATATGTATACAATATAGGTATAATTGTTTTTAATTTTYTATGAACTTTATACTTTTTTTTTTACTAAAAAAAGTGGTACTAAAATCTTCAGCATAGCGTCGGGTATAGTAGTAAAAAATTTCAGCCAAATCGGTTAAGTAGTTTTCTCAGTATTCAATTGTTTTTAAAATATCTTTGAAAGTAATATTTGTATTCCAAAAATTATAAAACTGTATTCGTAAAATAAATTAATCGCTTATTCAAAAATAATCAACAGGATAACTGTTAATTATACTATATAACATATTCGTCACAACATTTAAAAAACATTTTTAAGTGTTTGTTTAGTAGATAAATTTAAAATATTAATAGTTATAATCTACCAACAGATTTATTATATTATAATTTATATTATATTTATTATACCTATGTATATGATTTATTATGATTTTGAAGAATAGGTAGGTCTAATGGTCTAATGAGATACAAATTTATTATGTACTTAATAGCAGCACATTAATCAACAAGCAAAATGAAAGACTGTCATGAACAAGACAGTTTATGTAGGTACTGTAGTGTAGTCACTTATAATAATAATAATTTTTATAMTCTAATAAAAACACTAGTAATTAAATGATAGTTTAATAATTGATTATAAATTATAAAGAGTTACCTATACCTTAGTATGACTGGATAGCGTTATCCAACAAATTATAAAATGTATACCTAAATATTTTAAAAATAATAAATGTGACGGCCACCCATCCGTGTCTTTTATTCTGACGAAATATAAACATGGTAGGTAGATAAAGAGAGGTTAGGTTGCACGGGTTTACGCGACGTCGTCATGACTATTCGCTGATCTTCCGTACAACTGAGCCAGGCTTATCGTGCTCTTTGGGTCGTTGCGCGGGCTCCGTAGCATTGAGCTCACCTCCTCGAAACACTCGCTGGTGAAGTCGAGCATGCTCCGGAGTTCCGACCTTTTGAGCAGCAAGTCGCTGCTGTCCAACTGCCGTTCGGCGCGCGAATCGGTGGTCCGCGCCGGTCTCGCGCCAGCACCACCGCGGCCGCAGTCGTCGTCGCCGCCCCGACCACGACGTCCGGACGACGACGACGTGACGCGATAGTCGTCCATCGCGGCCGAGCGTCTMGCCGGCGGTTCGTCGAACGTGTCGCGGCTCATCGTGTTGTTGCTGCCGGTGCGGCCGTCGACGGGGGAATTCAGCGCGGCCAGTTTGAGCGTCAGTTCGGAAATCCGTTGACGATGATGGTCCAACGGTGACTTCTCGACAACGGTCCGACTACGTTCTTCGGCCGGCGATTTGACGCTCTCGTGGCCTGCGCTCTGCCGTATCGTGCACAATTTCGGCCGCGGACACTCGCGTTGCTTTTTCCTCGCACCGCCGCAACCACCGCCGCCGTCATGAGCCAATGGCTGATGCTTTTGTTGTTGTTCTTCGTCKTCGATCGCTTCTGAAACCGTTGTCACATTATTGTAATTGCGATGTGTATTGTCACTTWTTTTGCTACACATTATATTATACGATATATGCCCACGTCTCCTCGTCATATTTTTGGCCCTGATACTAAACTAAATCCATGGGCCTCTTTTAAATAACAATTAATTTTGAAATATTTTTCTAATAGATAATGAAGTAATCATTTGCATCAACGTCAGGCCCCTCGAAAGTCCGGGCCCCAGACCACGGGCTCTTCTGACCCCCCCCCCTTGTGTGGATCCGGGATATAACTATTAATGACAAACAACAAATAAGACGTCAGCATCTTTAACTTATTTTTTATTCATATATTATACTGGTAAATTTGTTTTGCTTAATCTTTTATAACATGAATTATGATGAATTATGGACGCACCTAATTGATGAAATGATAGGTAGATATCTATTTATTCTGTTATATATTATACAATACAATAGTCAAAGATGATTAAGCAGTTTGAACCAATCAACTAATATCTAATATAGTAATTATCAAGAATGTTAGACGTAGCTGAGTAAAAAATAACAATATTAACAAAAATCGTGCGAGGTGATAAACAACATACGTATTTTATGTGTTTATTTAAGTAAMGTGAAMGAGTTCATAATTTTAGAAATAAACTATGAAAGTTTTCAGCCAGAAGTAGGTCAATTATGTAATTTTGATTTTGTTGAGGTGTTTATACAAATTATATTTTTATTTTTATTAATTTATTTTGTACTCAATGTGTATTTATTTTTATTTTTGTACCTACCTACATAGTATACTGAAATAAAAAAATGTAATGTTTAAGTGCGTATAAAACGCACGATAGTTATATTATACAGCCATACAGGTGTCCCGCGTGTATTTACTCATTGCGATCTCGCAAAGGAATGGAGATATCAAAATATTATGGTTTTGTATTAAGACTCACAGGGATAAGAGCTACAATTATTTCATTTTTTAAATTAAATTWAATTTTTTTAGTAAAAAATTTAAAAAGTATGTTTTTTAATTTAATTATTTACAAAAATTGTTCCTTATATTATCTTGATTAATAGAACGTTTTACCCGTATTGTCTTCGTCTTACAAGTGTGTAACTACATAGAAAATTTTACGTTCAGCAGACCACGTTATAATTAAATGTGATGTATTAAGATGTACAAAACATTTATAACTTTAAAATACTAATAGCTCGCTTCAAAATTAAAATATAGTAAAAATCTCATGTGGTCGTCTAAATAATACTTTTACTTTTAAATTTTATAAGAGGTCAATTCATTCAAATTTTTAAACTAAGGGAACTACACGCGATCTGCTGAGCGCAAAGTTTGCATTACGCACTTTTAAGACGGAGACAGCATAATATGCGGGGGCTATCACGTCCTCTTAATTGTAAATTAATCACTCAGCTCTCGGTTAATAAATCCGTAGTGTGGTACTTTGATGATACGAGCCCCGGAGCCTACCTTTTACAATCACATAACTATACTATCACGCCCCAAAAAGGATGTAGTTAAAATATTGGAGTCATAATCAATAAAAAAAATGTTCATACGCTTATATAATTAATTGTTGCTTAATTTGTTACAAACATTATTTTAGGTACAAAAAGTGTATTTAAAAGAAATATTTTATTTTTTTGCGAGACTTATAATAATATACTGGCTATGCCACTGCAACACAGTATCACACTTAACGTATATCGTAAATGTATATAGCTGATGATAACTAGGCATTACAAGACTCACAAGGGCTATATAGGGCTTGGTAGCTAGGCCCTAAAAACGAAATTCAYGAGTCATTTTTTCAGAATAAATACTGGGCACTTGGCAATCATGATTTTTAGGTTTTCAAAATACAAAACTCGTTATTATTGTTATGACGAAAATATAAAATTATTCTTAATACAATACTCAATAAAMAATATYAGCTATTAGAATAATTGTTCTACTTTTATAAAAATGTCGACCGGTGGATTTCGAATCTCTGAATGCTGCAGTTACAAACTTGAAGTCGAGCAGAACCATTTTTATATTATTAGATTAATATTAGAGTGAATTGAAATAGCTATATTAATAAGCTTAAATGCAAGAATAAAATCTATGTAATCTAGGTAACTACCTATTTGTCCTATTTGATTTATGTTTATATTTAAAACAAAAAGTGAGTTATGAGCATATTAATGCTTGTATTAAAGCGGCCACACACACACGTGTTCGACGCCTTCTGAAGGCTTATACAAATGCATGCATTTATATAGTTTTTAAAGTAAGTATGAATAATAAATATTTCTTGATATAATTATACTATATAGATTTTGCTATACTTTTATCGCCGGCTTCCGTAACAACGTTTGTTTTGATTGGAATTACGTCGTTGATAATCGACTGATCTACGCCAATCATGAAATCGCCGGGATAAAGTTTGTCGTAAGCATTAAATGCTTCTTTGTCGAGTTCTATTTGTGTCTTAAATTGAGCATCAACTTTGCGGTCGGAACACATTTCTGCGCCAAGTATTATATCTCCTGTTAATAAGCTAGCATCATTCCATTCGAATACTTCGGTCACATTTCGGTTTTGTTGTTCTATGTACATAACATTACAAAGATCTGGAGTATGTTGCTCGTTTTCTTTTAAACTATCTGGCCTAACAATAATTATCATTATATATTCATCTGGGGTTAAAAAATTTATTTGCTACGGTGCCCGCCATTTCACAATACGACAAAATTTACTAGGTTACCTACCTACTACTACTACCTTTCTACCTTTCTACTAAAAATTAATTATAATAATTTTCTTATAATATATGGATATTTAGGAATTTTTCATGGTGAAGGGGGCACATAATTTTCCATAAGCGTGGATTATAATTATAATTATTAATTAATCACGTAAACAAATTTAACATTATGTTCTGCCTGAAACACCCCTCACATCCTTAAAATCTAAATACGCCACCTAATAACGAAGCTAATTTTTAAAGTTCAGCTTAAATAAAGAAATATATCATACGTACTATATATTATAAAAATGATTTGCATAAACGATATTTCCAATATAAAAGCATTTTTAAAGATAATTTCATGTACTTAGATTGTAGGTAGTATTTATACTCGATAAAAGAGCGTTATATACTGACATAATGTTTGTGTTTTTAAAACAATTTTGCGGTCAAATCATAATATTATATTATAAAAACGAGATATTTTGTGWGAATGAAATAGGCAACATTTATTTTTAGATATCTAATTCTAATTGGAGATTTYTTCAAGTCTCAGTTCAAAAAATGGTGGTTACTGGTTAGCGTTTAGACGAGTTCGTAAAAATTGCAATGTGTTTGGGCGACTTTTTTTATATTCTGTAATACGTTTGTGCAATATTTTATTAATCAATTCTCCCTCTCATCTTGACAAAATTGGTA